CTTCTCAGATTTCTTCACAATTTAATTATGCAGAGTAAATAGTAAAGACAGCTTGGGTGAGGTACATTGAATACCAAACTCATGAATGGGGTTTAAAGTCTCTTGGTTCCCCTTCATTCCTGAGCAGCTCAAGATGGGACAGTTTCCACCTCCCTGAGCCTAAGGTGGTCAAGAGAGTTCAGACGGTGCCTGCGCAAGGGGCAAAATGAGCAATCCTATGTAAATCTGGAGTGCATGTTGAATTCTGAAATAGAGCAAGTATCCAATACATGGGCATGTGTCTCTCCTCATCTTCTCTGATCCATCCACCTGCCTTAGGTGTCAGGAGTCCTCCAGTGACTTGGTCTTGGCTTCATTGACCCCAGCATTTAGCCATGAGTCATGGGCCGCACCTGACCACGTGAGGATGTGGCTGTTCAGCGGCAGCTACATGGCTTCATTGTGGAAGATGTATGTGGTGTGTGTGTGGTGGGGAGTTTCCTCTCAGGGTCTGACAGGCAGAGGGGAAGAGGTGTGCAGGAGACAGACAGCAGCCAGATGGCAGCTGTGACGAGAGGTGGGGCAAGAGTAGATGTGCAAGGGACATGAGGGGCTGACAGGATTGTACATATTGGCTTATTATCCGGCCATGGTGGGTTTCTGAACACCATCCTAGTGGAAGGTGGCCATGATCAAAGTGTTTCAAGGCTAATGTGGGTAGGACCTGCCAGGGACCCCCAGTCACGGGCTGTAACCCTCTAATGCGAGAGCTCATCTCTTGCACAATTTCTAATACTTGTTTGCAGACAATGCCAAAGATGAAAACGAGAAAGAACTTAATACATTAAAGAAGACACAAGGGACCAATGCAAGGGAAATTCAATAATAAAACATCTAAATATATACTGGCAACATTTTCAAGTTAAATTGATAAAAATAAAAATCAAAATAATTTTTTTTCCCCAAGAAACAGGGTTTCTTTGTATACTTCCGGATGTCGTGGAACTTACTCTGTAGACCAGGCTGGCCTGAACTCATGGACATCTGCCTGCCTCTGCCTCCCAAGTGCTGGGATTAAAGGCATGCACCACCACCACCTGGTCAAATAAATTCTTTATATAAAACCAAATATTAAAATGTAAGGGGTGCATACTAAAAGATGGGCCTCTGACAACCAAATCTAGAATTAGATTTCTGCTTTTGTCTAAAGCAAAAGTTTAACAGACAGACATACATGGGGTCTAGGCTTGGTCCCCTGCAGAACTGCATAATGTATAAATATTGGCTATTAGCCAATTTTAGGCAAAAGGTCTACAAAGAACAAAGGATGCTGTGTTTCCATCTAGCAGATGGCAATTTATATAATACTGTACTTTTCTAGGAAAAAAAAAACCAAATCCATACATATATGGTTGGTGGTGACCCTGAGATCAGCCACAAAGGAGGACGTCTCTCCACTCCAACAGGCCCATCAGGTTGCTTCTCAGTCTTAAAGGAAGGATTGGAAATCCCCATCTCTTGTTCTTTCATTGGAAAAAATAAAAAGACTGCAGGCCGGGTGCTGGAAGGAGCCCTTGGCAGACTACTGGGGCCAGTAAGGACCACAACTACACTCCAGGTTTCCTTATCCCAGCCGAGACGGTGGAGTAATCATAGGGTTAATCAGACAAGGGGCTGTCAATAGCTGATACCCTAACTCATGTGTCCTGAGACCACAGCCCTTTAGCTCAGGTATTCCTGAACTTACTTCATAAAACAAAACCATCGCATACAACAAAAACAAAGGATTTCTTTTCAGAGGTGGTCAGTATTAGCTGATTGTATTGAAGAGCTCACCTTGAGAAGGTCCAGGAAGCAAGAGAAGAAAATATTTCGGCTAAGCTTAATTAGATTGTAAAAGTGGCCGATGATCAAACTATTAATGGACACTCTCTGGTGGGTATACTCACCGTGACTTTCAAATTCTTTATTTTTTAGTGTATTAAAATACTTTTGCGAGTTTTAAGTTTGGTATACAAGGATATACATAAGAGAAACCACTAGCTGAAGAGGTGTTCAGTATTTGTTTCCTGATTTGAAAAATAGGCCTAATCCTGTCTCATCCCTAAAGGGTTTGCTAGTGGCACGAAACTGAATTGGCTTCCAAATAGATTCATGTTTTCTTAGGTCAAGGTAGATGGGCTTTGCTGTGTTACAATGGATGCTGTGGGTATGCGCTGGCAACGGCGGCAAAGCTATGCATGTGGGATGTGCACCAGAATTGGAAAGCACACTGGGCCAAGATCATTATTCAACAACACGTGTGACTGTGGAGAGGAAGGCAGTGTTCCCCTGAAAGCTGCTACAAAGACTACTTTATGATCCATAACTGCACACAGATATATCACGGAGATACAAAGCCAGCATTTCCTGGCCCGTGGGCCCTGGCTCTGTGTATAATCATTCATTTTGTCATAGACTAAAACACTATTCACAAAGTGCTCTTCACATAAAGACCAGCTACAAGCTACCCGTAATCCAGAGACTTAGAAGTCGAACAGCAGAAACCAACGAGAGCAGAGTCCTCACTTTTCTCCTGGCACGAATCAACGGTGCAGCCTAAAGCCAATAGCTCTCTCCAATTAGCAGCAGCTCAGTGCAAAGATACTACAAGTCAGGAGACCCAGGCTCTCATGCAGGATGCATGACCTTACATCTGGGCTATAGTTGTATCGTTCACAAATCAAGAGTTCTCATACGGGGCTCGTTCATATAACCATGGGATGTGCGGACACAAAAAGTGGGGTGAAGGCTGCCCCTTAATTTGCAACTTGCATAATTCTTAGTTTCCTCAACCCTTAAATGAGGATAGTGTTCTGGGGTTGCTGTGAGAATTAGCTTCTAATCCGTGCAGAATGATGTGTATTTCTTAGTAAGACACTGGTTCACAAACTGTTCAAAATATATTGCATCCACTTGACTTCCAAAAACCACCACGGAGTAGCACGGGATTAATGGACTCAGCCATAACATAAATAAACAAGATTTTAAAGAAAATTCATGGATAATGTTCATTTTTAGCTTTTCTTTTATATAGTTACCCCTCATAATTGGATGGGACTGGTTCTGGGATGCTCCTAAGATTTGATGCTAAGACCCCAAATACATGGATGCTCTAGTCTGAATATGAAATGATATAATATTTCTATAACAAATGCACCCTCCTTATAGCTTAAATTGTCTCTACATTATTTATAGTACCAAATAAAGCACAAATACCATGTATTGATTAGGAATTTTTTAAGAAGTCTATACATGTTCAGCATAGATACAAACACAACTAAAAAGGCCTAATTAAAAAGCACATGGTCTATACTGGTTAAATCTGTGGGCACACGAGCTACAGATCCCAAGTGTTGACCCTACTGTAGTATTTTGCTCACTCATTGCTGGTTTATGTTTACTAAATTATCAGTATGTGATAGGCAGGGAGAAGGAAGGAGGAAACACGGAAGCCTTGGCTGCTTGGAAGCAGCAGACCATCTCTTGGTTGTGAGGGAAAGATGTACAGGACAGCTCTCCTCTCTCCTCAGCTGTGTGACTATAAGATTAGCATCCTAACTGGGACCCTTGTAGAGTCTACAGTGGGCGCACACAGGGATGCACAGCCCTTCCAAACACGGGCTTACATTTGTGACCATCCTTGTCACTTTAAAGCTATGTGTGATGTCCTAATAGGGATAAATTGCAACACAAGACTTCATCCAAACAACCAACTTAGAACCTTTTCTGTCCTTTATCCTTTAGAGGCATGCCAAAGGTTATTTCAATTTTGAGACATAATAATTTTCATAATACATCACAATAGAGCAGTTGCATTTTTATTGTTGGTTTGGGGTGTGTGTGTGTGTGTCCACGGGTTTGTGTGTGTAGGATCCAGAAATTTTGTAAAGGGTCTGATAGTAAATAGTTTAGCTTTTGTGAGTTACGTGGCCTTTGTCACAGTCACACAAGTTTGTCCTTTTAGAAAATTAATCAGTGATATACAATATGTAAAAAGGACAGTTAGGTCTGTGTTACAATAAAACTTTATTTACAAAAAGGCAGAAGGTTAGGGTTAACTGTCAGGCCGCAATTTGTTATCTCCTGCTTTAAAACTATGGCTTTCAGACTTTTAGAATTTATAAGATTAATTAGAAAAAATTAAAAAAATCTGAAATTGGCTCAGGATTTCTAACTTAGATGAACTAGTAAGGAAGTCCTTTATATGCATATGATATTGGGAGGGGAATGTATTGAGGGTCATGGGAAAGCTGGGAAGGAAAAATGGGGGTAGATATGATCATATTTCATTGTATACATATATAAAATTTTCAAAATAAAGAAGAAAAGTAACCTTAAAACCCAACTATTAAAATTTTAAATAGCAGAATCTGGAAAGGGCATGAATTCAGAATAATTTTATCTTTATGGAAAAACTACCATAGTGACTTTAAGTGAAAATGGTTTCTTGCTTGGTTACAATTTGTCAGGAACATGCCCAGATCTACAGATGGAGGGTGTGTGCGTGGTATCAGGAACATGCTCAGATCTACAGATGGAGGGTGTGTGTGATATCAGGAACATGCCCAGATCTACAGATGGAGGGTGTGTGCGTGGTATCAGGAACATGCTCAGATCTACAGATGGAGGGTGTGTGTGATATCAGGAACATGCTCAGATCTACAGATGGAGGGTGTGTGCGTGGTATCAGGAACATGCTCAGATCTACAGATGAAGGGTGTGTGTGTTGTGTTAGGAACATGCTCAGATCTACAGATGGAGGGTGTGTGAGTGGTGCTTTTGGAGAACCCTGGGCTATCTCACAGTAGAAAGAACGAGGTATTTACAATGAAAAGGCCTAAGTTTGAGGAAGGTTGGAGAAGAGCTAAGGAGGGAGAGATAGCAGAACTTAGGTATACTGTTCTGGAAAAAAAAAGTCCTTTTGTCTTGAATCACTGCTCCCCATAAACACTGCATTTGTAAGTACCGTCAGGACTCACCAGTTGCCACTGCTCAGGGTACCAGGCTGGGGGGCAGTTGAAGCGGTTGCAGGCCTGTACTGTGTTTGGTTTCGGGTGGTGACACAGCTCATCAGCAAGGACAACCACCTCGTTCATCTCTCTCGAAAGTAGGTGGGAGCAGACGACATCCCTGGTCTGCAGGCCAACCCCACAGGTGAGACTACACGGGCTCCACTTGCCAATTTCCCACCTGGAAAGAAGTAAGATGAGAAAGAACCTAATTGAGTTCCCGTGAGAACACTTTACAGTCGAAACCCCTCACTGGGAGTGGGGAAGGTTCTCCGAGAGGTTTGATTAGGGATTGGGTCATGAGCTCCAAACCCAACCATCCCCTCATGCTTAGAGTTCATTTGGACTACAGCAAAGAAGTCCATAGGACAGCCAATGTTTATTTCCAAGAATCACCAGGAAAAGTTGCAACCATGGCGACTGTATCTATTTTGACAGAACAGATGAACTTCATCCAAAGAGGTGGGGGAATGCTAGATGTGCACATAAAAGATTCAGGGATCATATTTTCACCAGTGTCTAGAAAGACTAGAGAACGCTTCTCTGCTTATTTCTCTAGCCTCCATTGTGTGTGAGGTGGAAACATTTGTGCTTCTTATTTGTTGGTTTCAAAGTGAAAGGTCGCTGGATTCAACTTCCTTTAAACTTCCATCATAGCACAGAAATGCCTGAGTCTTATGCATAAATATCATCACTGCCTGGGGCTGGCTAATGGACCAGAAGCAGAGACTGCAAAATAGATCAGAGAAGTAAGGAGCGAGTGGCTCATTATCTGGACAGGGAAGACGAATACACAGATGAGCCGAGCGCATGAATGGCAGGCTCCAAATGGCCATGCCTGGAGAAGTACGTTTACTGTGATCTAAGGGCCTATAAAACCAGCCCCACTGTGTTTCCCTGTCGACTGGTCCTCCAAAAGTTCCAGCAATAAGGACAAAGTTCAGTTGCCTGGACTCTGACTCAGAAGTGTTCTCTAATGGTCAGTTTTAGGTCTTCTGTTCACCACTTGAGACACACAGGTTCTATAAAAGGGAGCCAGCCAGGGAGAGCATGGGGGGCTTCCTTTACTACTAGGCCTGTCAAGGTTCTCTAGTGAGCCCAGAAAACTGTTTCAAAAGCCTTTAGCCTTAACGATTTTCCGCCAATTGTAACACTGAGTAGAAACTCCCATTTTTGCTTGCTACTCTAACCTCCCACTTACTTCCCCTCCCCCTTCATCAACACTATGATGAATAATTGCATCAACTCCTTTGCTATTTCCATTTATCCCTCATGGCCCTCTAGTACCATCTTCTTTAGCAAATGGAACCAAGGTCCTGGAATAGTTTTTGCCCTGTCTTCCTGTTTCAGAATGTCTTCCACGTTTATTACATATGCATTTATATATCTGCTCCAGGCATGGGTCATTGTTTTCTCAACCGGATTATAGTTTTTTTTTTTTTGCCTTTCAAGGGCCCCGTTACAGTGTCTATCACCTTAGATAGAGCCTGTGTTGGAGTGTGACTTATACCACTCACAGAATCCACTGGAACGCCATCTAGGTGGTTAATGGAGATGGCTAATAAATTCCTGAAAAACCGACAGAAGGAAGTACTCTACCACTATGGAGGGCAGACAAATTGATCTTATTTAGTTACCTCCAGAAAGATAGGTTTCACTGATTTCCTTAATTTTATAGTTGAGGAATTTGAGCACTGGTGTGGCTGAAGAATTCAAATACTTATAATGAAGTAGTGAATTCAGGATTCAAACTTACTTGGCTATACCTGACACCAAAGTCTCTGTATTCTCTCTATTTATATAACGGTGTCTTCAAGAAATATCTCAAAAATCTCCAAAACCATTCACAAAATTTTAAATAAAAGGGGTGGGCTGAACACATTTCTTAAGGATTCTTGTTTGACTGTCTATAAACTTTTTATTTATGGGACCCTAGGAAATCAAGCCCGAGCTTTAGGACTTGTAGGTTTGAGGAAAGTGTGCCCATCTTTCCCTCCCAGTTGGATTCTTGAGCGAGGGCTGGACTTAGATGCTCTCTTCCCATGAGCAGAATGAGGCATAAGGGAGACCGCGTGACTTTAGGGGTCAGATCATCCATGATGTAGTTTCCGCTTCTGCTCTGGCTGATGGCTTCCTCGTGGTGAGGTCATGAGCATAGTCTTGAGGAACGATCCCGTAGCTGAAGAACTGCGGCATCCTGCCACAGTTAGCGTCCACTTGCCATTCATCTGTGAGATGTGCCATCTAAGGCAGCCCCAGGCCAGCTTCAGATGACCTTAGCCTAGACAGGGGCTGAGCCAGGTCCACCTCTCTAGGCTGCTTCCAAATTCCTTACTCAAGTAAGCAATCAGAGATGACAAATATTTAGTCTTGTAAGCATCTAGGTTGTTGTGTATATGTGTGTTGGGGGGTGTACAGATTTTAAACAACAAAAGGAAATTATATACAAGTATCTATCCCTTCCCAGTGTACACCTATTCATCCACGGAACATTCATAGGGGTACCACACACGCATGCCGAGACTGGGAAACACTTATACGTTTATCAGCAGGTGAATAAATAAACTGTCATACAACAATACTAATGAACTCCAGGAACAAGCAAAAACATTGCCTGAAAACGAGGGTGTGGGGCCACACAGCACAAAGCCTCACACCTTGTGTTTCATTACACCAGCTCCGACCTCAAAGTCGGTGTATTACAGGTCAGGAAGGTAGTTGCCGTCGGTGGGCGGGAACCACAGCAGAGAGTGTGGTCCTTCCGGATGGCGTAGCCATCTCAGTGCTGGACCTGGCTCCACCTTCTGAAAGGGTTCACTGGACCAAGCTGCACACCTGGGATTTGTGCACATTTTCCTGCGTGTGTTCAGAAAAGGTGTTCCCCACACCCCTCTCATCTTCAAGTGAGAAGCTTAGGTGTGGGCAGAAAGCAATGCCCACTCTCCACGTCTCAAAAAGGAGTTTCTGCCGTAGTCCGTGCTGTTCCGAGGTTAAAGCTTGCCAGGCCCAGGCTTTGTACCCTCATCCCCTGCTTTTGCTTCACTCCTGGCAGCAACTCAGCAGCGAGGTCCTTGAAGCAGAGGCATTTTGGCAGCTATGAGGCCAGCTGAATACTGTTGGAGAAACGCTGTCTGCCCTAATAAAGCACATTATACATTCTCCAGGAAGGAGGTCAGCAGACGCTATCTGTGTAGTAAGCACTTGGCTGATTCTGGGTCAAGAATATTTTAATCAACTTTGGCCAAAAAAGGGAGGAAGCATAGGCTCTCCTGTTTCTCTTCTATGCAGAGGCTGTGATTGTGGGCTGCGGATCTGGCAGGCAGCTGATAACCCCTGCTCTGTAGGCCTTTGACCGTTTCCAAGACAGTGATCTTCCTGCGGAAGCCAGCTGGGGGCATGATTAGCTCCGGCTGACAGGGTGGGGGACACTGGTAGGCTTTCCTGGAGTGTTGGGTCCAGCCTGGCATACGCCCAGTAATAAGGAAGTCAGAGCTGAACTTTGGATGTGAGCCTCTCCTACCCCTTCCTTGGGTGAACTCGCTTATCTGTTCATCTCCATTTACAATGTCACTGTCACTGAGGAAAATTCTCCATCCATATAGTCTCTTAATCCTTGCTTCTCCGGGGAGTCACCATACTTAGACCAACATCACTACCTCAACTCAGCTGTTGTCGCGAATGGAGCACGTGGCGGTGTCTAATTTGTTTCTCCGGCTGTTCTCCATAGAATTGCATCTCCCCAGCAGATATATCGGGGTTCTAACCCACAGTAGCACTGAGTATGATGCTATGTGGGAAAGGTTCATTGCAGATGTAATTACTTCAGATAGCTCATAATAGATAGATGCAGTAGCTTCTTCTCGTTGCCATGGCTAAATTCCTGACAGGAGCAAGTTAAGGGAGGGAGGCTTATTTTGGCTTACTGTTTCATGAGCTGAGCTATAGTTCATTTGGGTGGGAAGGTCATGCTGGAGTTTATGACTATGAACACACAGTTAGGGGTCTCTATCAGCCTTAGACTGGAGGCAGAGAGCCAAGACCAGGAGTGAGTATGTATTCTGTGTGCCTCAAGGGACACCTCTAGTGACCTTAAGTCTGAAAGGCTCTGTAACATCACTCACTGGAGACCACCTGAGCCCGTGGGGGAACATTCCACCAGTTAAACCTGGTACACAGCAGTTTTCTTCCAGGTTAAAGCCTTCTTTCGCAGAGGGAAACTTGGGGAGGGGTGAAACGGCAGGATTTTAAGGCAGGATGTTTACAGAGAGGTGAAATACTCCATCTGCTGCAGAGACGCTCCTTGGTACAGGAAGTAAGTAACTCAAAAAAGCTCTGGAAAGTTCCAGAAGCAGACCAGATTCACTATGCTCCTCCCTCCCCAGGTATATGCAAAACACAAAGAACTGTTAAGAGTTGCTTTTTTTTTTTTGAGACAGGGTTTCTCTGTAGCTTTGGAGCCTGTCCTGGAACTAGCTCTTGTAGACCAGGCTGGCCTGGAACTCACACAGATCTGCCTGCCTTTGCCTCCCGAGTGCTGGGATTAAAGGCATGCACCACCCCAGCCCTGCTGACAAGCTATGATGTAAAGAAGACTTTCAGACAAACCCAGAGGCCAATTTAACAGTTCAGAAGAAAATGGGAATGACTAAGCTGTGTGGAAGAGGCTCTGACCAGCTGAACCACCTAGAAAGGCCACTCTCCAACTTGTTCAGCTGCCTGCGAGCAGTGCAGTGTGCTACAGGTATAGGACCCAGCCGTGACAAGCTGAGTCTCAGTGGTTTTCCCTAAGGCAATACCTGGGTGTAAGAAAGACCACAAACTGAGACCACCCAGGCACCACCCAGGAATGGATCATCCAAAGGAAATTCCTAACGTTCCAATTGTTCCAACCATTGTAGATAGAATCACCTGCCATCGTACACCCTGCTCATGTAACTTTTCTGGTTTTTGCCTTTAAATAATGCCCTCTAGAAGGGCGGGGTACCTCCTCTTGCTGCTGCTGCTGCTGCTGCTGCTGCACTGATTAGGTCTCTGCCAGCTTGTATTGTGCACACAATAAACTCTGCTTTTGCATTTCGTTGAGTTGGTCTCCCTGGTAGTCTTTTGGGGTCCTCATGGACTGGGTGTAACACAGGTTTCTGGCTTTTGTGTGATGTCACCCATGCTGAGGAGGGCTTTGAT